CAAACCTTACAAAATTTATGTACAATTGCTCTTAAGATGAAGAAAACGAATGAAACTCTGTTTAGATAGAAAATATCAAACATCGATTTGGAGAAACAGTTATCCTCGGATTAGCAATGTGAAAATAGTGATTAAAACATAGAAACGAAATATATCTTAAACCATGTCTGATTCTTTAGTATACCAATAGTGATATATGTCTGTTTCAAAACGTTATCCTAAACTACACATAACAGTCTCCAACTCTGAACTGGTAGACTAGGGGGGGGGGGAGACATCTATCCAGTCACCAACTTTTGGATTTGGCCGTCACTCTTATAACGTATCTGCAGCACCAAATCGCGGAGCACGTTTTGCAACAATTGGTCACAAACTTTGAATTCCCGGATTTACAGACTAGCACGCTAACTACTAGGCTACGCATTGTCACTATTACAGACGGCTAAGCTCTAATATTTTGCATAGACATCTTAAGAGAAAGAAAACTGATCGAAATGGCTACAAAATAAAATAACTCGCATATTACGTTGTTAAATCTACTAGAATAAAATAACTCTCATATTACGTTGTTAAATCTACTAAAATAAAATAACTCGCATATTACGTTGTTAAATCTACTAAAATAAAATAACTCGCATATTACGTTGTTAAATCTACTAAAATAAAATAACTCGCATATTACGTTGTTAAATCTACTAAAATAAAATAACTCATATATTACGTTGCTAAATCTACTGTAGCTAAGGCAACGAAATTAACTTTTGATAGGCTCCTCGATTGTTATAAAAACAGTATAATGTTAGGAATGACTTTCTCGTGCAACGAACCACAATCCTTTTATTTATGTTATCCATAAAATCGTCAGTCGATCGTACATAAAATAACCTCGTTTTGGTGGCAACTTTGGACAAGATAAAATCCGCTAGGCCAGTGTCACGTAGAAAACTTTATATGAGCTTAGGGTTCGATAACTTGCTTCGAAAAACGCAATGAAACTTCCAACATGTTGTTTTTAAGTTAAAGAAAAGTCTTCCCGAAGCAAGACTACTTTTGCTCAGGGACGTTCAAGTCTGAACTTGATTTGCACTTTAAGAATGATTTACGTCGTGTTCATAGTTTGTTTATATCTAGTACAAACACTCAGATGAAAAAAAAACAATAAATGTTTGTCAAATTTTCTCATGAATTCCGTTGGTTGACGTATGACCAATCGTATTTAAGTATATTGTTACGACAGCGGAAGTCACGTGACGCTGGGAGCATGCGTGACTGAGTTTCTCGAATTTTCAGGGAAGCTCGAGTGTGATCGAGAGACGCCTCTTTGTTAGTATAGTTAGTATATAAGCCTGACAGAGAAAGCCTGTGGGGATGAATGTATAATAAAACGAACAGTAGCTACGGTAAGTGTTGTGTTAGTGTGTGTTTTGCACTCGTAGAGAGCAAAGGTATCGAGCTTGTGAATCGCTGTGATTTATAGCGTGTATTATAAAAGTCATTAAGTTGAAAGTGACGAAAAACGTACTAACTGTGGAATTACTGTGTACTAAAAGTTTGTATCGAGAAAGAATAAACTGGTTTAATAAAGAAAGGACTTGTATCGCTGAAGTTCATCGGAAAGAATTTCTACCGGGAATTAAGAAACAAGCAGATACGTAACAATATCAATTACAGAACGATCTAAGACAGTAAAAGTGGTTACAATGGAAAAGGTTAAGTGCTTTATTCTTACTGTTCCTTCGCAGTTAGGCCTGGCATTATAAGAACGTGCTGCCGAGGTATTCCAGTCTAAAGTTTACTTATTTAATTATTATATATTATGTTTTTAATATCTTGAAATAATTAAGGTTTTATTTGCACACATTAAACTTTTCTTCAGCGCCACAAAGCGTAGTAAGACTCGAATGTTTTGTCTTTATCTTAACTGTATTGGTCAATTAAAAAACATGGTTTCTTGTCATGGAAGGAATAAACCAGCAAACATTGTATTAAGTGTATTATAATAGTAAACCAAATTTAGGCTTAGGCTCAATATCTCACTTTTTCACACGCTTGCACTGATGGTGATGTGAAATTCCAATTCTGATTATCAGGCTTGTCTACTCTGGTTAAAACTACCTACAAGAGAAAAAGAACATTCAGTTAAATATAAACCTCAAATTTTAGCTTTTAACACGTTAAATGTTTGTAGTTATACATTCGTTGGATGTAAAATTTAAATGTGAACTTTAATGGTTAATAAGATTGTTGGAAATGTATAGTTAACTATTTCCTCATTTCATCTATATTTATTGGTATATTTTTGATTATTTGCCTGTTATTACTATTCATATACATTAATTTCACGTTCTTTTAACTACGTATAGGACGTTGTCAACTTAACACTTTAGGCTCGCGTGAGGTTAAAATTATAACACTTGTTTTTGTTTCTCTTACACAATTTCTTAGAAGTATTTCACGTACCCAAGTGTTGGTCTTGGTAAGATCTAACAGTTTAGAGATCGTATCTAGTTCATACGTGAAACAAAATGTCGTTCAAAAGCGTTCAAAAAATCATGAGAGTCTCATTGATTACTTCTTCTGTTACAAAGTTAATAGTTACAGTATTTCTCAACCGAAGAAAACTTTTAGAATTTTTTGAATATCTAAAGTTGTCGTTGATTAATTAACGTTTCTTGACGAGGTTTTATATGATGGGTAATTAACGTTTCTTGACGAGGTTTTATATGATGGGTAATTAACGTTTCTTGACGAGGTTTTATATGATGGGTAATTAACGTTTCTTGACGAGGTTTTATATGATGGGTAATTAACGTTTCTTGACGAGGTTTTATATGATGGGTAATTAATGTTTCTTGACGAGGTTTTATATGATGGTAATTAATGTTTCTTGACGAGGTTTTATATGATGGGTAATTAACGTTTCTTGAATTCCTAAATGATATTAGAATTTATAACTGTGAAAAAAATGTCTCTTTTTTCTGACATCGATTTCGTTTGAGTTAGAAATAAAGTTATTTATAATAAACTGTTTATACTTTTCTTAAAAGACTTTTAACAAACATAAAAAATGAAGAGTGTTCTTAAGACGACTGTTCACATTTTTTTTATGAAGTTATAAAAGAGTAAACTATGTAAGTATATTTTTTTAGTATATATATATAATTCACCAGAATTTCCGCATGAACGAAAGAAGCATTCTCCACTAACAAGTCATGTTCAGGGTCAACAGCAATTCGAGCTTGACCAGCTACTAATTGGGGCAACCTTCTCCAGGCTTGTCTGCACGACCAGTTACCTAATCTGGTAAGTAACCGGGAAAAGAACCCTACTAAAATAAAATAAAAAATGTTGTTAAATGATTATTAGATTTTTACACGATCTATTTATTTGGAAATATTATTATTTAAACTTTCATTTATGTTCTTACCATTATCATTACTCTAAGCATTATTAATTTCTGTTGGAATACTACCAGAAAAAATATAGTTGAAATCTAAGTCCAGTATAGTTTATTTTAATTCTGTCTGCTGGTTTACTTTTATTGTACCCAGCGTTAAATCTTGCCCTTAACGTTAACCCGATCCTTAGGTTTTTATCAGCAATAACCCTCTGTTGATTACATAGGCCTAATTATCATTACTGTTATTCTTCTCTATTCATATTGTTGTTACATTTTGTTGCTAGGTTATATACCTGGTAACAAGCCGTGAAAATCTAAGTAGAGACGTAAACAATGGGACTCGTCGAAAAGGGTTGGCGTGCGAGGTGTCCGTTTCCTAGCAACCCAAGGAATCCAATACGAATCTAGCACGTCATCGGTGCTGCCTTGGTCCTGCCAAATAGGAAACACCAATATATTCAGTGCATTTAACAAACTTTTAGTAAAGTTATTCTTGTTTTACTGACTCACAAGCAGATCACATCATTAAAAACTTATCTCTCTTTCTATAAATAACGATATATACCCACATATATATATATGTACACACACACACAAATATATATATATATAGATATAAACACCTGTGTGCGTGTACGATATACAGAGAGCAGTCTATGAAAGTTACGAAAAATCGTTAGAATCTCAAACAATCAACATGGCAACGACTGACGCTTGCCACAACCTTAGTCTTTACAAATACAGGCTAAATGATCACAGATGTCGTCATAGTCTAGAAAAATCGTTAATTTATCGTAAAATCTGATCTTCATCATTTTTGCCTTTATAATATCCTTAGAAACCTTAAGCCAGTCACATTTTCAAAATTTAGCAACAGATTTTTCGCATAAAAGTTTGATTATTATAAAGTCTGCAAAAGTAACGAAATTTATTTACTAAAGTTTCCTGTGATTTACAATAATATTTCCCTTACAAACTTAATCATGCTTTTTTGTTCTGATATATGTATATATATATATATAGGTAGATAGATATTTCCCCTGTTAAAACAAAACGAGACATTATTTCACTTCAAAAAATAAAAGCTTATTTTCATATTAGTTATCAATTCTACTTTGATGAAACGAATAAAAAACTCATCTGTCAGTTATTACTTTCTTAGGCATTCTTAAACTTTCATCTGTTTGTCAATTTCTGGTGAAAGGAGAATTGTTTCAAAAACTGGAATAATAAAATTCCAGATAATGTTGCGGGTAATAACGTTCTAGTTAGAGTATCGATGAATTAATTGTAGTACTATTCCAGCCTTTTCTCTTAACCCTTACAGTATAGTAAGTATAGTCTATTAATGCGAATAACAAAGAAGATTAAAATATCTTCACAACCAAAAGAAGAAGTTCATCAAAAGTCAGGTTTGTTTGTTTGTTTCAGACTTTTGCTAAACGCTGCACAAGGGCTACCTGCACTTAGCCATTCCTAATTTTGAGCGGACAAACAAGATGGATGACAGCTAGACAATAGTAACCACCACTACTAATTCTGTCTGATTGAATAGTTGGGTTTCACTATAGCATGTTTATTCGACAACGAGTCGCTAGCCATGGATACTCAAATTCTCAGTCTGGTCACATTAACTATTACGGCCACGCCCGGCCTCTAAAGTAATTATTAAATCAATGAGAAACAAATAACGTTCTTTCTGTTTCAGATCTGAACACATAGGCCACTCACTAAGGCAGTCAATAAGTGAACACGTAAAGCATTGTAATTGTATCTTGTGTCTTGCTAATAATATAATATCAGAAATTCCTGACTTTTGCACGTCCTGATTTTTTTTGTAGGCTTTAGATAAAATAAAACAAGAGACCTCAGATGTTTCATTATCACGTAATGTGCTTCTCGAGATAATAAGTCAATAGATAAATAAGACCAAGTTTAATCTAATTACAGCATGGATATTTCATTGTAATGTTCACATTCCTAAAAATTAGCCGAAAGATTTAGCTACAGTTATTAACTCCAAAACAAACAAAAACAGAATAACACGTAAAGCCTCTTGTTTAATTTTAAGTTACACTTGTGCTCTACCTCCCTCTCTCCCCGGTAGGTCAGCGGTACCGTTATAGACTTACCACACTAAAATTTGGGGTTCGATTCTCCACGTAGGGAAGAACTTAGATAGCTCTATGTGTAGCTTTGCGCTAAAATGAACAAACCAAACTCAATATTTTTGTCCTTCTGTCACCCAACAATAAACTGAGAATCTTGTTATTTAGATAAAAAAACAAAGTCAAGATAACTGTTTTAGTAAGCCCAAACACGGTCAAGATAACTTTTAGTAAGCCCAAACATAGTCAAAATAACTTTTAGTAAGCCCAAACATGATCAAGATAACTGTTTTAGTAAGTCTAAACATAGTCAAGATAACTGTTTTAGTAAGCCCAAACATGGTCAAGATAACTGTTTTAGTAAGCCCAAACATGGTCAAGATAACTTTTAGTAAGCCCAAACATGGTCAGGATAACTGTTTTAGTAAATCTTGAAAGTCCACACAAACACACAAGAATACATAATACTGTCTTTATACATTATTACAACTGTGTCTTACACGCAATGATCAGAAAACACAAGAAGTTACCCATTACTTTTCCTTATATTTTCATTAATAACTAACTTTATAAATGTTTATAAAATCTCAAATGAACAGAAAAAACTATATCTGATTTTAGGTGTATACATATATATTTAAAAACAGGCCAAGATAAATTAATAAAAAACAATCTCTAACTACCCGTTCTTTTCCAGGGTCACACAGAAGGCCCAAGGTTTCTAAGATATCTATTAATTTACGTTTACAGTCCCTAGCACCACTCCAAGCTGAAGTGAAATACTCATCAGGAAGATAACCATATGACACATCTATTCTCGCACTCTGGTTAGCCACTCTTTCGTCGCCGTCACATGGTTCTGAAGATTGCTAAATCAAAAAGAAAGATGTCCTATTCTTTAAAGTAAGGAGAGAAAATTCATAATCACATTGATACGATCTGTTTTATTTTAAAATATTTCAGTATATAATAAACTATTTAGCTCTCAGAAGTTGTGAACAGCTGTCCCTAAATCTGAACTAATAGAGCCTACCGTAAACGTCTAAGCTACCCCTGTCCTAGTGATTACTGGGATTTAGCTGTCACTTTTATGGCACACTCAGAGATCCAATGGGCGAAGCGTCTATATATATATATTTTTTTTTTACAGACTCACAGTCTGGACACGCTAATAACTGAGTCATGCCCAGTCTATTTAAAATCGTAAATATAAACTTTACATAAATATAGGATCACAAACCACAGAGTTCTTGATGAAAAATTTAAAATTGTTAATTTACTTCTTGTTGTTAATTTACAACGATCAGACTTATAGGACAGTTATCCCCGTCCCACCAAACATGCTCGCCCTTTCAGCCGTGAGGGCGTTATAATGTGACGGTCAATCCCACTATTCGTTGGTAAAAGAGTAGTCCAAGAGTTGGCGGTGGGTGGTGATGACTAGCTGCCTTCCCTCTAGTCTTACACTGCTAAATTAGGGACGGTTAGCGCAGATAGCCCTCGTGTAGCTTTGCGCGAAATTCAAAAACAAACATATAGGACAGTTATCTACAGAATTACTCTTATAGGCAAAAATTAAATGTATTTTCTTAAAAAGATAGTTCAATCCTTTCATCATCAAATGGGTTATTATTTTATACTTATACTTTTTAACCACCTGAATTTTTTATATATTTATTAACAATTCACGGAAGGGGGAAATAGAGTAAATCACCGATATCGTTTATTTAAATTCTGTTGGGACTTTATGTCATTCTTCCCTAGAAGATTTATTGTCTAATGAAGTATTCCTGTTAAAATGATAACAATCATAAGTTATGATTTTCCTTACTGCAGTATTTCTGTTAAAATAATAAACAATAATAAGTTATGATTTTCCTTATTGAAATATTCCTGTAAAAATAATAACAATCATAAGATATGATTTTCCTTATTGCAGTATTCCTCTCAAAATAATAACCATCCTAAGATATAATTTTCCTCATTGAAGTATTCCTGTCAAAATAATAGCAATCACAAGTTATGATTTTCCTTATTGAAGTATTCCTGTCAAAATAATAACCATCCTAAGATATGATTTTCCTTATTGAAGTATTCCTGGTAAATAATAACAATAATAAGTTATGATTTTCCTTATTGAAGTATTCCTGTCAAAACAATAACCATCCTAAGATATGATTTTCCTCATTGAAGCATTCCTGTCAAAATAATAGCAATCACAAGTTATGATTTTCCTTATTGAAGTATACCTGTCAAAATAATAACAATCCTAATATATGATTTTCCTTATTGAATTATTCCTGTTAAAATAATAACAATCATAAGTTATGATTTTCCTTATTGAAGTATTCCTGTCAAAATAATAAACTATGATTTTCCTTATTGAAGTATTCCTGTCAAAACAATAACCATCCTAAGATATGATTTTCCTTATTGAAGTATTCCTATCAAAATAACAACAATCATAAGTTATAATTTTCCTTATTGGAGTATTCCTGTTAAAATAAAAACAATCATAAGTTATGACTGAATTATGAATTTTAATATAAAAAAATTAGAATTTCTAACCATTAAGTAGATCACAGAACAAACAAATCGTATGGTATCCAATGACTTGTCTTTAAATAGCACTAAAATATACTGAAATGCTAATAATAGTACTAATAAATACTGAAATGCTAAT